TCTTGTCCTTTGTAATATTCTGCTTTTAACCAGAAGGTCTGATCAATGATAATCTGTCTGTGAATATGCAATGGATATTTAAGGCTGCTCAGATTTTGTCAAATAGTTTTGATTTTGGCTCGCAAGAGCTTTGGGTGTGTGTGTGTGCGCGTGTGCGCGTGTGTGTTCTGCCCACCATAAAGTTTGAGTTGCATTTGACTTTTTTTATGCCACAATCCTTTTTAAATTCTCATTTAAGGTACCTCATCATGAGGCAGATAAGGAGGAGTCCCAGAATACTGCACCAGCGCACGAGAAAGGTATGTTGTTCGTGTTCATTGTAAAAAAAAAAAAAAAATGAATTTGGGAAACAGTTTGGCACATTTGTCTAGGATTTAATGGTGTTGCTGTTCCCTGGATCCCTTCTTTTTAATTCGGTTGTAATACAGTAGGTCTTTCCTGAGGATTATACTGTACTAGCACGAAGGTGAATATTTTTAGGGCTTGCATGTAATGGCCGTATCCTTATCTTAAAATTGACAGTTATATGGGAAACTGATTTCATTAAATGACTGTGCTACCGACAGACATTTGTTGCCATGGATGCTAAAGAGAGTGGAGTGGGGGGTTAAGCACTTATTCAATTAAGGATTTTCTCCGTACAAAAAAAAGGATCCAGAAACCTAAAATTGGATTGCAACTGCACAAATTGCTCATGTCACAAAAGCGTATTTAAACGTTATAACCTAACTGTTTTTATCTTTCATTGATTTCGTTTATAAGGTCTTGTGAACTGCGAATTCTTTAACACTTGCTCTAGGGGGAAATGAAGACTTCAGAACAGGAAAGCTAAAGAACCCTTCTTTCTCAGTTCATTATTATAGTTCCAGGAGAATAAGCATGTTTCCCTCGGGTGAATCTTACAAGTCCTTGACACAATACAAGTACAGTAAGCCTCCACAGAAGGGAATTGTACTGTTGGCATCATTTTATTGCACTGTAACCCATATTTTCTCCACTATTCAAATATGAAGACTTATTTGTTACTGCACTGCTTGTGTGTCTGAAGTATAACTGCATTAATTCCAATTTCTGTGTTCTATACTTAGATTGCACAGCACAAGCATATCACTTACTATTCTCTCACAGTTGAGACCCTCTTTCTTCACTCACCTGCCACAAACAATGAGATGTTTTTAAGTAAAACCGCAGCTTAAAAACATTTTAATTGTTTGTTTTAATTTAATTATAAAAAGCTAACAGACATCAAACATGAATATTGACATACCAACAAGGCACTACTAAAGCACAAGCAAATTCACAAGTGAATTGGATCTCGGGTAAGTTGTGCTTTAGTTCGTGACTCATTTTTAGAGCTCAGAACCAATAAAGGCTTGTTGCCATTGTCCTAAGAAGATGATCATCCTCACTTAATTGTCAACAAAACAGGGTGTCACAGTGGCCCAGTGGTTAGCATTGCTGCTTCTCACAGCTGCAGCCCTGGGGTGCTGTCCTGTTTCCTTACTCAGTTCAAAGACATGCTGGTAGGTTAATTGGCTTCTGGAAAAATGGGCCTGCTGTGAGCGTGTCTGTTTGTCTCTGGATGTGCCCTGTGATGGACTGGCATCCAGTCCTGCCTGGCATGAAAACACATTACCAGCACACAAGTAGAGGAAGAGGAGGTTTGCTGTGTTAAAGCTATGCATTTAGATTCACACAAAGAATGGGTTTGAGTCTTAACTAAACCTGAGCAGCAGATGCTTGGAAGCTCTTAGGAGGAACTTAGGAGGTTTTCAGCCTTTATATGATCATATATAGTGGGACTAGACTGTAAACCACTACATTCCCAAAGTACAAGTATCATTGCAATGCAGTCTGAAGAAGGAAACTATTTTTTTTCAGACAGGTTTTAATGTGGATTTTGATGGCAATCAAGATGCCACTGTGTTATCTGAATAGATAGAATTGGACTCCCTGAAATAAAGCAGTTAGCCTGTGTGCAGGTCTTGACATTGTAAAGTTTTAGTGAAGACCTTGTTCCTGTGCTATTCAAGGTCAGGAATGAGAGATCATTAAGTACACATGTTGATGCTACAAATGTTGAAAGTTGATGATTCAATAGGTTATGCTGTCTCGGTGGGGCTGCAGGTGTTTGTCACTTTCCCCTGCGCCCCGTGTTGCAGCTGTGTGCTGAGCGGATGTTTCCGTGTGCCCTGCAGGTACAGCTGTGGCTGAAGAGGCGGAGGAGGTCCAGCTGTCTCTGAAGTACAGTCCTGGGAAGCTGAGGGCCAGTCAGTATGAGAACATGATGACCAAAGAAGAGCTGGAGGAGGAGCAGAGGTATAGATCCCATCTGAGCTGTTCAGGCTTGGGCATGAGCACAGCCGGACGCAGGGCAAGGCGCTGTGCATCCATTTATTCAAACTGCTGCATGTTATTTACAGGGAAAGGAGGGGACGCGTTGATACCTGAGCCCTTCATGACAATGTTGGTGTCAGCTCTTGTGCGATCGCATTAATGCAAGTAGTAGTAGTGTCTGGCACTTGATAAAAAGACCTGAAAATCTTTTCCCGGGGGTCGAAAATGGTCAAAGAGGGATGAATGCATGCACTCATGCCTAAATCAGAATGTCACTGTAAGGCTGTGTTGTTACAGAAGGTCACATGTCTACCTTTCAAATAGTAAAGGAAGAGATGCTCCTTACGAGCCTTCATGTCTTGTGTCTATGTCTTTGCTATGTTTTGGTGCACACAAGCAGTTATTTTAGTGCACAGTCTTTAGTTAGTGCATTGAACACAGTCACACATACTGTAGTCCTGTATAATGGAAGAAATGTACTCGCTTGCAGTCCATATCAGTGAAAATAAGGAATTAAATGAAAATGATCATAATCGTTGTGTATATAAATTAACATCAGAAAAAGACTACCTACCTACATCCCCAGTTTTTTTTCCGTGTGCAATAGCCAGCTCCACTGAGCTAGTCATCATGAAGCACTCTTCTCTAAGCCAGATGGTAATGATAAGACCTGGCTAGAGACTTCCTACTAGTCTCTCTAATCAGAAGTGGCAGTCAGGGTGGTGTCCAGATAACATACAGTTATCATCTTTTAAAAAAATCATCGAAACACACCCACTGCAAAGGATTTTTATATTTTTTTGTTTTGAAAGAAAATCTAAGCTTTCTCAGTATCTATTGCTTAGTTTGTTGTTGGATTTGTCCATTTTTGTAGAATCCTTTGGCTTTTGTAGGAAGAATAAGAACAAAGTAAAACACTTCACTCTTTCATGCAGTGGGAGGAAACAATATCTTGTATAAGTAAGCATTTATCGAAGTTAGTTTCCTACTGTTTCCTGTGGATAGGTGATCTAAATGTGATCCAGTTAGAAATGTATTTCCATATAGTGGCTGTGAGTGTATTTGGTCAACACTGTTTCTATACTTCCCAGCGTTCCTTTCCATAGGTGGTCCCTTGGTGTAACATAAAGGCTTGTGGTTCCCAGTTCAAACCCCGAACAGAACACTGAACCTCAGTGTGGTCTTTCCTTCAGCTGAGAAGTAAAATCAAGGTCTTACTGTAAGACACGGCTCAAATGGTCACCTTCCAGTCTGTGTTAGGCCCTTAGGGTCTGCTAAAACCACACCTTTATAATAGTTATAAAGGATCATGCAGGAGCTGCTATTAGTGTGTAGTCCAGTCTCAACCTCTGTTGGTGGATTTTCAAAAAAAGATCCCCAAATGACTTATTTTTATACAATACAGTGTCTGCCCTTTGAGGGGTTTAGTGTCGAATTTTGGGGAATTTTGCAATGGGCAAACTGGAATCAGCTTTTTAAGGCTAGAATTGTTATGTTATAGCAGTATTGAACCTCAAATCTTATCTGTTCGCTAAAATGTACACCTTGGCTGAGACTAATGTGTACGCTGTAATAAAATCGTGACTGATATGACC